AGATCAACATAATTAAACACTGCCATTATTTACTTAAATCAAAGGTGTTTAGCTCCTTTACATTTAAGATTTTAAACCATGTTTTAGCGGTGATTATTCTTTATATATGTGAGTAAGACGCGGGTTCGCTAGCCTTGAGGTTGCGGGTTCGTTCCCGGTGTTGGCAGAGAAAGTTCATCGGTATTTTCCGGCGTGGTTTCCTCTTGTCAGTGGTGCAGGAAGGAGTGCCTGCCAAGTACAGCAGTCTAGTCTATAGGTGGGACGAAAACCCGACGTCCCATGTACACATTGGCATGCTAGTTAAAATCCCTTGGGAGTTGGAATTCGATATAAGAGTGGACCGGACATTCGCTGTCCGGGCAAAATTTTCCTCATAGTACAGCTGTCTAATCTAGATGGAACGAAAACCCGAGGTTCCATGTACACATTGGCGTGCACGTAAAAAATCCTTAGCAGTTGGGATTCGATATAAGCGTAGACTGTAGTACCGCTGTCCGGGCAAAATTTCCCTCATGGCACATTGTATGGCGTATGACCGTCTGCCGGGAGCAGAACAGTAGGACGTCGAACCCCATTTCATTTCATTTTGTAGAGAAGGAGCAATCAGTATTGCAACATTTCTGTTCCCACTATTCACGAAGGTGGAAGTTTACAGTGTGAGCCTGTATATCATGAGCATTCGTTCTCATAGTAATTGAATGAAATGGAGCCAATTTAACAAGGGAGTAATTGTGTCTGTTTTTAATAGTTCCTTAATTTATACTGCAGCAAAAACAATCTTTACGAAACACGTGTTTTGCTTACAATAATTACATACACATTACAAGGTCAACTGTGACGTCATACATTTGAACCCTGCACAAACTAGATTAGGAGATAAAAGATGCCTTATATTGAAATAACATTAACCACAAAAACTATCTGTTTTAAAGAAACTCAACCCGGCTTTCTGACTCATTGCACCAGTCTGAATATTCCATATCTCAATACGGTATTTTGCCAAAGTCAATTCCGGACTGTTTTGAAACGTGAATGTAATTGATTTACTGACTTACTTAGGATTAAGTATTGTTCACGACTAAGAAAAAAAACTAAGAAATTATAATGACTAGTAAATTGAATATTAATTTTATACAAATATGTCTAAAATGCTTCAATATGACACTGTACGATTCACGAATATTAACTTGTATTCCATTCGCGAATATTCACTGGTATTCGATTCACGAAAGTTAACTAATATCATTCGATTCGTGAATATAAATTTGTATCTAGGTATCATTCGCTTCGTATAACTCTAGTATTTTTGATGAGTCACGTTCTACCCGTGTTTGGTTGTTGGCTAACAGTTATGATGCCATTTAAAACTAGTTTGATCTATAGACGTGAAATTTATTTTTATCCAAGACAGAAAGTCAATACCACCCCGCCCCCACTACAACCCTGTCCCCAAACAAATAGCATCCAATGAAATCGACCTTTCTGTTTTTAACGCCAAATAGATGTAGTCATTATAAAATTGAAATGAAATCAAATGGTGTTTAATGTCCTACTTATCTACAAATGCCACGAATATTCAAGACAACACGTGACACCCTCTCTTTAACCTGCAGACCACCACCACCATGCCTGCAATCAATTAATGTGTTTATGTTCTACACAGGTTTCTATGACGTCATGTATAACTTTGATATATCCCAAGACAAGTAAACTCATTACTAATCATAATATCTCTAATTACTAACAGTTATCTCTTCACGTGGGAAAACATATTAACCGGGTGGCTACCAAGGAAAATGTAAATTAAATGTAATGTAGGTCTTTTTTTCTGACTTTAAATTATGTTATAAAAATTGTTATGTAGACATTTATTCACACGACAAGCCCATAATCAACTCTCTGGGTCATTGAACATCTTTGTTATTTAATGGATTAGAACACCCGCGCCATTTAATAATTTCACGTTAAAACGTATAATCGAGACTTTGTTTATTGTCGTAGGAATAAAGTAATTTGACTGAAATGTGCAATAATAATGTTCATTTTTCATTATCTAATTCGGAATTAGTATATATAGCGCGAACGATCAGATTTTTATCCAAATCTCCCATAATGCATCTTTACGGAATCACTAGGCCAGATGGTTTACAAATATCGCAAAAGTAAATAAAAAAATATGTACTATAAAGATTATTATAATAAAACACATCCAAGTAAATATTATCTAATATGTTTGTTTTTATTGTTATTCTAGTCAAATTAAACACATTCATATGATATTGTTATTGTTTTACTGTTATTAAATTATCTAATATCTTTATTTTTATTGTTATTTTAGTCAAATTAAAAACATTCATATGATATTGTTATTGTTTTACTGTTATTACGTTATCTAATATCTTTGTTTTTATTGTTATTTTAATCAAATAAAACACATTCATATATTGTTATTGTTTTACTGTTATTACATTATCTAATATCTTTGTTTTTATTGTTATTTTAGTCAAATTAAAAACATTCATATGATATTGTTTTACTGTTATTACATTATCTAATATCTTTGTTTTATTGGTATTGTAATCAAATTAAAAACATTCAAGTGATATCGTTATTGTTTTACTGTTATTATAATAAACACATTGCCGGATAGTTCACTGGTATTATGTAGTATTTTATTGTTATAATAATCTGACTGAACAGATTCAAGTCAAAAGTGTGTAATATTCCTTTGTTAATCTGGTCAAAATAAACACATTCAAGCTCAAAGTATGTGAAGGTTTACTGCATATGTTATTATAATCAGATAATAATATCAAATATCATGTTTTACTTTTAACTGGTTTGATGTGGATGTGATTTATCTAATTATACGCTGCTCCCCGTGGGTGTTTTCATGCAATTAAATTTATCTTGTCTAATCATTCAAGTCAAAAATGTTTAATTATTGTTCTTCTAATTTACAGTTGTATGATTAATCTTTAATTGAGATTTCAATGGGTGGGACTACTTTTCTGCATCCACCAAGCTAACGAAGATGGATATAGCTATAGGGCTCAGTGGAAATGAAATGGGGTTTAACGTCCTACTGTTCTGCTCCAAACTGGGCTAATGAAGACGGGCATATGCCATACAGTGTGCTATGAGGGACATTTTGCCCGGACAGCGGCACTACGGCCTACTCTTATATCGAATTCCAACTGTCAGGGGATCTTTTTTACGTGCACGCCAATGTGTACACGGGACCTTGGTTTTTTGTCCTATCCGAACAACTAGACAGCTGTCCTTGTCAGACCCTCCGTCCTGCATCACTGACAAGGAAGAACCACGCCGAAAAATCTGGATGAACTTTGTCGGTCAAGGCAGGGATCGAACACCCGACCTCAAGGCTAGCGAGCCAGCGCCTTACCCACTTATCCACCGTGATCCCCCCCCTGGCAGTGGAGTTTCCGACTACTAATCGACGATTTCTAACTGTTATTTTACGTGCACGCCATCCGAACGACTAGGCGCTGTAATATAACCCCCACCTAAAATCCTGTAGATGGCAAGCTGAATGATAAACACTTAAATTATTTCCTAGTTTCTACGGCGAACTCGAAGCTAAGATTTCCAGACAGAATTATTGGAAGCTGTACACAGAACAAGTAACATCGTGTTATAATATGGAACACGTGTTGAGATATGACCTATTCTATCATGTTCCATCTCATATTATCTCTTTTATTCATTGGTACATTTAACAACAGGTTTAAAGTGACGTTTTCTTGTATTCAGAGAGAGAGAGAGAGAGAGAGAGAAATGGGGTTTAACGTCCACTCGACACAAACTAGGTCATTTCGGGACTAACATATGGTTTAATTTTATTTCAATAATTCACTTGCAAGCGCGTAGGGATCTTTAGCAGTGGGAGAAAACCGGAGGACCCGAAGAAAACCCACGAGGTTGGACAGGGAACCCTACTCCTGGTCACGCACAACCAGGGATTCTCAACCACGCCAGTTGATTCAATGACAGGCCTTATGATACAGCGCGCACGTGCTAACAATTCGGCCATTCAATCCCCCTTTCAGAGAGAGGGAGGGAGAGATAGAGAGAAGCAGTGCCGGAGGGGGGGGGGTCTGTTTTTACCATCAATCTGTAACTGATTCTATAATTGATCATAATATGTGACACGTGCATTAACTAATTTAGTTGTTGTTATCTCGTCATAGTATTAGACCAATCTGATTAAAATACAGATCTATATTTCGTTTCGTTTTTTTTTATATTTTCGATGGCCTCTACTACATGGAGATCTGACCAGTTGTAGTGGAAGGTCGCGTCAGAGGTCATACGAGCGGCTTTTGAACCTTTGATTAACCAATCAGCGTTGATGTTTTAGTGGAATGCCCATAGTTCCGTGCACAGCACTCCAAGAACTCGCCATAACAGACCGTTTCATTGGCTGATCCGCCACATCAACCAGAACGCTGGTTACATAACAACTCTTTCAGATCCTATTGTTTTAAAGACAGGGAAAACGAAATTTTGAACTATAAAAAGCGAAACGAAATATGTGTTTTAATCAGATTGAGTATTAGACAATATTGTATTATTGTTTGTATTAATCACGGATAAAAATCTAACAAAATCTGTCACTATGAATATTCTGTAGACGAGTGACGTTTGAGAGAAGACTGAAATGGCGCCCTAGTGTTCTGCTCCGACTGAAGCAGGGTTCCCCCTTGTCAGTGGTGCAGGACGAAGGGACTAGCAAGAGGGATTAAAATCCGAGTTCCTCGTGTGGACGTTGATGTGTTCGTGAAAGAACCCTTGACAGGTGGAATTTGTCGAATACTAAACTGAAACGCCGGGCAATATTTCCTTCATAGCACACTACATGGCGTAGACCCGTCTTCATTAGCCCGGTTGGTGCAGAAAAGTAGGACGATAAACCCCATTTCATTTTATTTCTTTTTGTTTTTAAAAAAAACAAGATACTAAAAAAATGGCGAACCAACCTGATCTTTAAGACGATCAATATCCATCTCCATTCGAAACTGTTTTTTATCCGCCTGCTCGAGAATTTCCGTCAATTGTCGATTTTCATCTTCCACTTTACACTTCTTATCTTCCAGCATATCAATTTCGTCATTCAGTCTTACCGACACCTCTTTAGCCATTTTTAAATCTTCCTCTAATGCACGTATATGATCTCGGGCGTCATCTGAGGTGAACTGACTCTGGAGACTGCGGAGCTTGTCTTCGTATCCATGTTTGTCCGCCTCAATCTGCTCGTTACGCCGTTCAGATTTACGTAATTTAAATTGTAAAATTCGACAGTTTTTCGACGCCAAGTCCAATTCCTTTTGTAATTCACGAAACTCGTCCATTTCGTTCTCTTTAAACGTGTCATACATTTCTTCCATCTCGACTTTCAAATTACTTAATTCTTTCCGTAATTCTAAATTTTCGGATTTTAGTTCCTGACATTCGGCATCACTCGTTTCCAAATCACGTTCTAACTGTGAAACGGCCTTACTATCCGGTTTATCCTTGTTTGATTGGACATCTTTCATTTTCATTTTATTCTGCAAGTCTTGATTATCACCTTGTAATTTGGCACATTTGGCTTCCATAGTTGCTAGCTGTGATTTACAGGTACTCAAACTCTTCTCAACGTCTAACTTTTTCGAGTCATACGCCATTTTCTTCAGTGCGGCATTATCTTCCGTCAATTTCCTGCATTTCTCCTCCATCTCCTTTAATTTTGTAGTTAACTTGGCTAATTCTAATTCCTTACTTTTCAATAATTCATCAGTTTTATGAGAGGAAACCTCCGAACTCTTACTAGAACTGTCCGAATGTTTACTAGATATCGTGTCCTTGGTGCTGACATTACTATCCTTTCCTTTCGATGCACTAATTAGGGAACTGGGTGCAAATGTCTTTCCTTTAGAACTATCTAATGTTTGAGCAGTATCCTTGCCTCCTCTAGAAGAAACAGAATCTAAATGATTTGAACTTCTCTCCTGCCTGTCTTTAGTTCCATCACCGAGACCTTGTTTACCCCGTGACGTAACTTCTGCCTGTTTACCTTTGCTCGTGTCTGTAAGAACATTAGCGCGTGCTAATGGTGGTGTATTAGAGGTTATAGCAGACGGTTTGATACTGTTTGATGACTGTTTCTGCTCGCTACTCGAACCTTTCGGCGAAATCTGAGAATCTTTCAAGTGGAATTTGCTTACGTCTGTTTCTGGCTTCGTTTCGTTCTTTTCTGACCGCGCTTTATCCTTTACAGTACCTCTTACGTCACTCGATGTGTCGTCTGTGCTTCCAAAGGATTTCATCAAGCCGAATATTTTAGACGGTTTTGATTTTGTTTCATCTTCGGGCTGTTTCTGTTTGTCCTCAACTCGAGATGGTTTCGTCGATTTATCTAGGCTAAGTCCGGGTTTTTTGTCAACAGGGGCGGTAAACGGTTGTTTGGATGAAGATTTGTGGTCATCTGGTGCTGATTTCTGGGATTTATTACTTAATACAGGAGAAACCTTGCCGCTAGTTGTTATGTTTGTGTCACTTTTACCAATTCCAGGTGTTGTTTTCGTTTTAACATCGGCGCCATTTTGTTTACGTAATGGATCACCAACACCAGTTGCGACTTTCCCAAAATTTGCGACCTTAGAGACAGTAGCAGATTTCCCGCCATCTGGTGGTGTTGTCTGTTGTGTATGAGAGGGCGTTGTTTTCCTACCGGGGGGTTCCGGCGGATGTTTAGCGGCGACGCTCGGCGGTTGTTTTTTCGCATCGACTTTCGTTGTTTTACTGACATCTTGTGTCGCAGTCTTAACTACAGGTTTGTCGCCATTTTTTACATTTGACAACGGCGATGACTTTCCGGTCGTAGATTGAGCTAATGGTGACTTGGTTCCTGTTTTTGGTGTACTTGGTGATTCGGGTGTTTTCGGTTGAATCTTTGACGGTGTTTTCGGTGAACTTTTATTCTCTGTGGGTTTTGTGGTTTTTGAGTCTGTAGTAGCGGCAGGCGTCTCACCGGTGCCGCCATGCTCGTCTAACGTATGGAAGCAGTTCACACACAAGGTCTTCCGCCACGCTTGTGGTTGAAAGGCACCACAAACTTCGGTTTTAACAGACGGTTCCGAACTCATAATTTATCACTCATATATCCGGGTTTTATCCCTTCGTCCGTGGAAATATTCCCAAACTTTCACAAACTTAGAGCCTTAAAGGCTGAACACAAGATGGCGATGATGAATTCCTCGAAGTTATAATTCTACGTATCCTCTTTAAATCAACATTAGCACACCTCATACACATAGCAGGCAACACTAGCGTACTACGTCATAGGTTTGTGAGTAGTTCTTAACCCAAATACGGTGGAATATTGGCACCAGACGGTAGGGAAGCGAAAACACGCGAACAAATTAATCGTCTGCTTTCCTCAACTTGAGTCAGTCGTCTGCTAGAAACCTGTTTATTAATGCGCGTGCCGACTGCATGAGAACGTGTACATGTATTGAATTACCTAGAGAGCGAAGTGAATGTCGGGCGCTAGATCCTATACCGGTTAACCAACTCCACACTGCATTGCCATCCATATAGTGATTGGTGAGTGGGATATGATCGGGTGATCACTTACTGCCAGAAGAGGCTGCCAGATGTTTCTTTAATTACTGTAGCTGGCGGAATGTTCTGCAGGATGTCGATTAAACCCGTTGACTTTGGGTTTTATTGCTAGCGGTAGACTGCTACATACAATAACATATAGATCGTCCTATATTACTCTTGCTAGAGTATATGAAATACTGTGCGAAAGAAAAATGGGTGGGATGCAGCCAGGGGGCTAGCCAAATTAGTTATATAGCGCCAAAATATTGCACTCTTTACGAGACGAATTAAATATTATCTGAGCTGTAGACAAATGCAAATTAGGCGGAAGGGTGGGATGCACTCATAAATTTCAAATGAAATGAAATCAGGTTGGGTTTAAAGTCCTTCTTTTCTTCTTTCTATTAGTGTTTAACGTGCGCTTCCACCGAGGGTGATATCACAGACAACTTGTCTTATTTTTATTATCTAGTCGTTCGGGTGGGACAAAAAAACCAGGTCCCGTGTACATATTGACATGCACGTAAAAGATCACTTCGATACAAGAGTAGGCCGTAGCACCGCCGTCCGGGCCAAATTTCCATCTTGGTACACTGTATGGCGTATGCCCGTCTTCATTAGTTCAGTCGGAGCAGAAGAGTAGGACGTTAAACTCCATTTCTTTTCATTGCTCTATGCTCACTGAAACAACACCAGCGTGGCTCCTCAATGTCAAATTGTTTGGTAAATTTATAGTTTGTTGTGTCCCGAATTACACCAGAGACAAAATTCTATCTTCCGTATACCCCACAGAGTATTAATTTCCATCGACAAACCTCAGGTCTTCATTAACCCAGTCGGAGCAGAACAGTAGGACGTTAAACCCCATTTCATTTCATTTCGGGGGCTGGGTGACCGAGTGGTTAAACGCGTAAAATCATAAGCTCTGTCATTGAGTCAAGTGATTTCGAATCCCCGCTTATACGTGACAAGGAGTAGGGTCGCCTGTCCAACCTCGTGGGTTTTCCCCAGGTCCACCGATTTCCTGCCACTGCTAAAGAACCCTACGCGCGAGCGAATTATCTAAATAAAATAGAACCATGTTAGTCACGAAATGACCTAGGCTGTGTCGAGTGCACGTGTACCCCCCCCCCCAACCCTCCAAATTAAATTAGGATTTCGTATTTCTGAATTAGGATTTCGGGTGATCAAGTTAGTTATTGGGAAAGGGGGGTAATTGACGGCCCTCAATACCCCCACCCCCACCCCCTGTTTTATACTTACTCTGTGTATATACTTTTTAATTTAATATAACCTGGACATCCTGGACATCATGTATTATAGTCTATTGTCATCTGCTTAGATGGTTCGGTAGATATTATCGTTTCCTGCAAGTTGAATTTCGAAAGGAGAGAGAGGGAGAGAAATGGAGTTTAACGTTCACTCGATACAAACCAGGTCATTTCGGGACTTGTTATGTTCTGTGTCGTGCACGTGTCTTACGTCATCACTATTGGTGGTATGACATAATTAGTTAGTCACGTGCTATTTAAGGCTAAATGGGTGATTAATGCCGCAGTAATGTGATGAGTAATTTCCATAGCTTCAATTACAACACATCTCTTCATTAGTCACTAAATTGTCCAGGAATTTATGAATCCCTTGCAAACCAAAATATTGTAAAAAGTTAAAAATCCCTGGCAAACCAAAAATATTGTAAAAGTTGAATATCTAATATAAATATCAGTCCAAAAATGGTTCAATTCCGGTGAATTTAGTATTTTCCGAAAAATATGGTGGCTGTTAGCGGCCATTCAAATGTCATCTAAATCGTCGCCTTATGAAGAGGGCTTGTCGGGTCAATTCTGTCGTCTTGTCGACTTGTCGCGTCAACTTATTCATAACCCGACAAGTCGACAAAATACAATTATTTCGACTTGTCGTGCAGCGACTTGTCGCCTCGGAAGTTAAACTGTGCGCATGCAAGTTATCCAATCAGCAAATGCGCAAGCTCGAGTTTGACATCCGAGGCGACAAGTCGAAATAATTGTATTTTGTCGACTTGTCGACTTGTCGGGTTGTGAATAAGTCGAAGGCGACAAGTCGACAGAATTGACCCGACAAGTCGACGAACGTCGGGTTATTTTGTCGTGTTGCCGGGTTGATTTTGTCGACTTGTCGACTTTTCGCCTTCTTCACAAGGCGACGATTTAGATTCATTTGAATGGCCGCTAACAGCCACCATAGAAAAATGTATTTTCCGCTCAGACATTTTAAGTGTCACAAATTATTCCACACATCAAACTGTATATGCATATAATAGAATAGAGCCACGGTGGCTCAGTGGGGAGGATGCTGCTCACTATCCCACTTGCCATTTGTCAGTGCTGCATGAAAAAGACTTATAATCCTTCGGATTGGATAATGGCGCGTAAAAGAAATTACGACAGTTAGTATTTGCCAAGAAGAAAGTTCCATATAGCACAAGAGGATCACAGTAGCTCGGCGTGGTTCCCCCTTGTCAGTGATGCAGGACGGAGGGCCTGACAAGGACAGCTGTCTAGTCGTTCGGATGGCACAAAAAACCGAGGTCCCGTGTACACATAGGCGTGCACGTAAAAGATCCCTTGACAGTTGGAATTCGATATAAGAGTGGGCCGTAGTGCCGCTGTCTGGGCAAAATTTCCCTCATAGCACACTATATGGCGTATGCCCGTCTTCATAACCCCAGTTCGGGGCAGAACAGTAGGGCGTTAAACCCCCTTTCATTTCATTTTCCATATAGCACACAGCATGACAAATCGTTTTCTTAATTATTCAAGTTGGACCGTTTACCTCAATTTTATTTCAGGGGGTTTGGGTGGGTGCGCGCTGTATCATAAGGTCTGTTATTTAGTCAACTGGCGGGGTTTCGATTCCCCGGTTGTACGTGACAAGGAGTAGGATCGCCTGTCCAATCTCGTGGGTTTTCTCCGGGTGCCCCGGTTTCCTCCCACTGCTAAAGACCCCTACGCGCAACGAATTATTGAAATAAAATTGAACAATGTGTAAGTCCCGAAATGACCTATTTTGTGTCGAGTTTCTCTCTCTCTCTCTCTCTCTCTCTCTCTCTCTCTCTCGCTGCTTTATAGAGTAAAGGGAGATAAATCTAAGTTGGGTCACAGATGGAGGCTGACCAAAAATTCTCTCATTGACTTTAATGTTAATTGAGATCTGTTTGCCCGGCTCTAACTTTTCCTCCAATTTTCGTTGGACCGTACGCTTTCCACCACACTTTGGATAACAACTGACCAAGTCCTTGTTTGAAGTGGGGTGTATTCGACCCCACATTTGTACGTACACATTAGGAGGAAGGCCTACTGTGGTTATTCTCCGAGTCCTCGCCCCTAAAGACTAGACTGCTACGCCACCTTGAAGAGATAGCCAACTCGGGTTTTAAAATGTACCATAAATATTGATTTCAGATATCAACACTGAAAGAATTATCTATTGTACTGAGCCCATCTGGTTGTAAAAATATCAGCCCATACATAATCCCCTCTCATATCTATAAACTATTCAGTTAATGTTTTGGTATAGAAATGTCGGATTTAGTGATATTAATGCTATTTATTATATTCATTCACTTCTAAATCCATATTGAGTCAATTGAAAGAACACCTTGAACTAACATCTTCATTCAAGTGTATGATTTATTTACATATTATTGTGGGGGATCACGGTGGCTAAGTCGGTAAGACGCTGGCTCGCTAACCCAGAAGTCGGGCGTTCGATCCCTGCATTGACCGAGAAAGTTCATCCAGATTTTCCGGCGTGGTTCTCCTTTGACAGTGATGCAGGACGGAGGGCCCGACAAGGACAGCTGTCTAGTCGTTTGGATGAGACGAAAAACCGATATAAGAGTAGACCGTAGTGCCGCTGCCCGGGCAAAATTTCCCTCATAACACACTGTATGACGTATGCCCGTCTTCATTAGCCCAGGTTAGGAGCAGAACAGTAGGACGTTAAACCCCATTTCACTTCATTTGATATTATTGTGTTATCGTAGATTGCCTCCCTTATTGTTATTTTGTTTTCGTTTAGATCAGTGCAATCGACGTTAACGGTTGCCCCCACCCCACCCCTTAGATACATTCCATTGATTTGACATATGCACCTTCGTGTAACGTCCGCGGGGTTGCCTGATGGGGTTCGTTTCCGTGTGGTGCGTATCAAAAAATAAAACAAACATTCTGATTCACTGGTTGGACTTGATTGTGGATTACGATTTGAGATTTCAAGATGTCTATTTGATCAGTTTTCGCCCCAAAGCCATACACGATTTAAATCAGCAGTATGTATTGTTTTAGTTACATTCATTGACCGTGCCACACTATTTTCCCTAGTCATGTTTAAAGATACATTATGCGAGATTAAATAAAGAGCTGACAGTTCTCACTATAATAGTTAAATACTAGATAATGTAAAGGGAATTTGCTGAAAATTTCTGTCAAATTGATCCACTCTAAACCGAGAATTTAGCGATTGAATTTTCGACCTAGCCTCGATCATCATTACTAAAGTGGGTACGATAAAAAGCATAGTTTCAATTATTCATTTCATGATTTAATCATGAATGAAAGTTGATCAGCAATTCGGATCCTAACCCAGTAAATATCGCAGGCTAGCGATGACATAGAGAGTTGTTTATGGTCTGGATAAGGTAATTAATGTCTAATTAATAATTTAGATAACATTTCCGGCCTAAGGAAAGACCTGCAATAGGCAGATTTAGCTCTTGTATAATGTATGTTTAACGTAATAATATATTATATTTTTGAACTAAGCGCTACTCATCTTCTTGTTCTTATTCTTCTTG